GAAGACTTCACTTTGAAGACCACTGTTTGAGTCCTATTATAGTGACTAGATATTTAAGCTACAGAACAAAAGATTGCACATAGATTCTCACATATGTACACGATTAAAGGGGGATTAAAAAAACTCACTTTGGGGTATATTCATTGATTTTAGAGAGAGAAGGGGGGGAGAGAGAGACAGAGGAACATCCATGTGAGAGAAAAACATCGATTGGTTGCCTCTCACACACACTCCTACCAGGGATTGAACCCTCAACGTAGTATGTTCCCTGACTGCAGATTGAACTGCAACCTACTGATGCTCCTGGTGATGCTCCAACCAAGCCCCTTGGCCAGGGCTGAAAGGGAATTTTGACGGACCCTTATTTAAGGTCATCATATTTTGCATGTATTAAAAAGATTACCAGAAGCTTGGTCAGTGTGTACCAAGGACACTGCTAAATTTGAGTCTTTGCACTTCTTATTCTCTCAGTTTATAATACCTCTCCACTAGAAATTTGCATGGCTCATTCCTCAGTTTGGTTTTAGGTCTTTGCTTATATAAAACACCTATCCCATTTTCCTCCCCAGCTTTATTTTCATTCATAGCACCGAAGTCATCATATTATGTGTTACGTATTATGTTTACTAGTTTTTTCATTTGTCTCCCTAACTTAGACCATAAATTCTAAGAAGGCAGGAACTTGTTTCTTGCTGTTTCCTGGTGTTTTGTGCTTCACGAGTAGCATGCGACCAATAAGTATTGACAATAAGTTAGATAAAGAAAAGCAGTGTCTGCTTTTATATCTGTGAGTTAGATAAGATTTTGAAATATTCACCAAAATAAAGCTGCTTTTCTGGCCTATTTGTATACTTTTTAACAGAGATAAAGATTGGATGGTGTAACTTTTTGGGTAATAAGAGTACTTCCCCAAGTGTGGTACATATGTTCCATTGTTGTTAGAGAAGCTGAATCTAACTGACAGCATGGACTTTTTAGTTTTCATGTTAATTAGATAAAAAAATTTAACAGGTAGCCCTGCTGTATCAATACCTTAGGGACCCAGCAAGAAACAATTCACTCTGGGTGGTTCAGCTGAAGTATTGAATATCTTTAAGAGAGTCTACTTACAGATATGCTGGTGATTAAAGGGATACATACAGAATAGCAAGAGACCCAGAGACTAGCAGTAGCAGAAGCTGCTACCATCCCTAGGACTGGAAAGGATAAAGGTGTACCTGGACTAGAGAAGGAACCACTTGGCTGAAAACTAGTTTTAGAGAGGGAACACTTAAGTAGAGAAGGGAACACAGGAAAAAAGACTTCTTTCTTCCTATCCTCTGATATCTGGTATTCTTGAGTATCTCTTGTAGGCCAGTTCTTCCAGAAGCCAACTTTGTGGGATAGCCTATCAAGAATGGAGTGAGGGCCTGGGCTGGTAGCTCAGTTGGTTAGAGCATCATCCTGATATGCCAAGGTTGCAGGTTTGATTCCCTATCAGGTCACACATAAGAATCAACCAATGAATGCATGAATAACTGGAACAACAAATCAATGTTTCTCTTCTTTCTCTCTCTGTCCTCCCCCTTCCTCCCTCCCCTCTCTCTTCCTCACCCTTCTCTCTCTGAAATCAGTAAATAAAATTTTTTTTAAAAGAATGAGGGAAGAGCAAGTGAAGACCAGCATAACATGAAATTTGTAAACTGATAGATTTTATTATGTAGGCAAAGCTAGATTTGTTAAGAGAAATGAGTGGATAGAATGACAGACACTAAATAATAGTACAGGTAAAACTCATGGCCATAGTTTGAGAAACTGGGGAACTAGTTCTTTAAGCTGCATTGTATTCTGCACAGTCCATTGTACAATTGGGTTTTCTCATTCATTTTAGAATATTTTATTGTGATAGGTAGGGTGGAGTAAAAGTAAGTTTATAGTTGTGAGTATACAAAACAGCTTCTTGTTATATTATCATTTATTAATTATATTATTTTCCACATGAACAAACTATACACCTACATTTCCCTCATCCTGTATTTTAATTGTTGTCTCACCAGTATTCCACATTATATGTTTTCCAAATAACTGAATCTTAAGACTTTTAAATACGCATAATTTTACTAACTTCTTGTAAAGGGACCGTTCCCTTAAAATGTGCTATAATATTGTTAAATATATCTAATTTCCTAATCTCTTCAACTAGAATGGTGGTTCACAAACTTCAGCATACATCAAAATCACTTGTTTTTGTTAAAACAGGTGAGCTCTATTTCCTGAGTTTTATAGTTCTGGGATAGGACCTGAGGTGATGCCGATATTTCTGGTAAAGGGACCACTAGTACTAGAGTATACTGAGTTTAATTTAACTTTGTTTTAAATCTTCATCCAAGGATATGTTTATTGAATTTTTTTTTTTAAGAGAGAGATGGGGGTGTGGAGAGAGAGAGAGAGAGAGAGAGAGAGAGAGAGAGAGAGAGAGAGGAGTGAAACATGATGTGAGAGAAAAACATCAGTAGCTTGCCTCCTGTATGTGCCCCGGGTAGGGATCAAACCCACAACCTAGATATATGCACTAATCTGGAATTCTGGAATCGAACTCACAACCTTTTGGTGTATGGACGACATTCTAACCAACTGGGATATCCTGCCAGGGCTTGTTTAACTTTTCTTGATTACTTAGGTTCACTTACCCTACTACAGAAGTACACTGAAGTATAGGCATGTTTGTTTTCTTATAATGGTTCCAGATCAGTTTTATTTATTGTCAAGGTTTCGTGCTGTCATTCATTGTGCCATTAGTAACCCCTCTCTCTCATTGTAATTTTCTTTTTAAAAAAAGATTTTATTTATTTATTTTTAGAGAGAGGGGAAGGGAGGGAGGAAGAGAGGGAGAGAAACATCAATGTGTGGTTGCTCCTTGTTCATCCCCCACTGGGAGACCTAGCCTGAAACCCAGGCATGTGCCCTGACTGGGAATTGAACTGGCAATCCCTTGGTTCGCAGGCCCACACTCAATCCACTGAGGTATACCAGCCAGGGTCATTGTAATTTTCTTGTACTAAGCTGCTGTGGCCTCAGATAGATAAATTGGTTAGATTTTAGTTTAGAGAAGAGAAGATCTCCAAGCAAAGTTTATGAGCTTTAGTGAAGGAGCTTTATTATGTCCATTTTGACTGTCTAATTTTGATTACTGATTATTTTCCATGATATCAAATGTTGCCACAGAAGTGACCTTTGGTTAAGTATAGTATTCATTTAAGTTCTGTACATGCCACAGGTGAGTAGGGATCACAGGAATCTTTGATACTGTTAGTAGCTTAACACCTTAGAAGAAGTCCACAAAAAGCTTAATTTCTGCTAAATTCTTGCTGTAGCGCTTTAGCTAATTTATCATTTCATATCAAGTATGAGTCTTATGTTTTTCAGGTCTTATTTAAGCTGTATTATAGTTTTGTAAGCACTTTCTTGAAATATGAGGGGAGGTAAATATATACTAAGTTTAAGTAAAAGTAAGTATTTTTCATACATTTAAAATTGGATGTATGTTTTTATAAATGTTAAATTTGGATGTAGGTTTATAACATTTGTTTCCAAAGTCACTAATACTATGTAACATTAGCATAAAAAATGGAAATAGTGAATTTGTGTTTTTCAGTAGTGAGTATTCTAGGGTTGTTGGCCTCATGTTTGTGAGAGAGCTTACATTATAGATCTGTTTAAAATATCTGTTTGGAGAATATGTGGAAAAATAATTATATATTTTCCAGTTGTTACCTACACCTTTTTAACAATAAGGAAAATACTATTCAAGTGCCTGTATCAGAGGTGCCTTCTATCTTTTCGGTTGACAGGATCTTTCAAGGCCTCTTTGTCTTAGGTTTGCTTTCGTGGTTGATTTATATGTTCTGCCTTGACTTTATTGTTCTTTTGTACCTGCCAGTTCATTTTTTCCCTTCTGTGACTTTTTCTCTGAAATTCTGCTAATGCTACTTATAGGAAGGCTATTGTTGCCTAAAATTGGTTGCCTCACTCCATTTTGTTTCTGTGACTATTTTTTTCCTAATTAGTAATAAGATTATCAGTATATGTTTGTTAATTTTTTAAATTGCAAAGTGCATTCACATATTCCACTGGATCTTCATTGTAATACTTATCAGGTAGTAGCAGGAGGGGGTGTAATTCTAATTTTACCTAGAGTTACTCCAAGTACAAGGAGGTTATATTCAAACTTCAGTTCCTACCAACCCACCTATGCTTTTACTCTGTCCTAATAAATATATTTGTATCTGGAGTGAATTATTTAACTTCATTGTACCTCCATCCATAAAGTGGCACTATTAATACCAACTTCATAATAGTACTGTGAGGATTAAATTGAATAATCTGTATAAACTGCTTTGTAGAATAGTGCCTGGCACACAGCAAAACTACAATACATGTTAATACTAATAGTTGTTATACTCCATTTTTCTCCCATTGAAAAACATCTTAGATTATTTCTTGAGTTTATTATGCTCGATTAGTTGTCTTATTACCTGTCTTTTAAAAAAAAAGTCTTTAGTTTTATATGTCCAAACTTTTCGTTTTAAAAGAATATGCAATAAAATAACTGCTTGAGGAAGCTGTTGGAGGTATTTATATTGCTCCTTTTAATATGCTGAGATCAAAATGGATGCCTTTTCTCAGATTATAACATTTTAGTGCATATCTTATTACTAAATTTAAAATTTATATGTCTCTATTTGATGCCCTATTGGTTTTTTTTAAAGATTAGAATAATATGGCCGTTTGGGGTAATTATTAATTCATGGATATATGTATGTAGAAGAAAGAAAAAGTAGGAATTTGTCTATAGCATTTGTAAAATACCATTATGTCAGCATTAGCTCAAGGAACTGAATTTTAGGAAACTTTGTTGGAAATAATTGTGTTTTTCCTGGTAATGGCTTTCTGTAAGTTGGTATTTAAAAAGATAAATTTCTAAAATTGCTTTATGTGTTTCCCCCCCTCCCCCCCAACAGGGCATTCTTAGCAGGGTTACAGAATCAGTTAAGAATATCGTGCCAGGATGGCTACAGAGATACTTCAACAAGAATGAAGAAGTATGCAGCTGCTCCACAGACACAAGAGAGATACCACAGTGGCCAGAAAGTAGAGATGATGATCATCTGATATATGCTGATGAGGAGAGCACTAATATTCATGATGGGAGAATCACTCCTGATCCAACAGTAAGAAATACAGAAGGTAAATGGAATGTGAATATTTTGTTATGAAATACAGGTTTTCATTTCTTAATATGAAGTATTTTTATATTACCTGTCTGTGGTAAACCCAACTGGGTAGTACATAAAAACATGTAGGAAAAGGATGATGATCAGGTTCAAATTAGGTACGTTCCTTATTTTTTAGCTTTTTGTCTGTTAAGGGTGGCTGATACATTATATCAGCTAAGAGTACAAGCTCAGATTTTAGACTTGCCTTAGGAAGTCTACAAATGTTTTCAAGCCATCATTTGTTAGATGTGTGGCTTTGGGCAAGATAATTTGTATTCTCATAAATTCTTATGAAAATAAATGTGAAGACTTTAGAGTAAGTCTTGGCACTAAGGTAGAACTATATAACTTACCTGTTACAGTGAAACTGATAATGCCATGAATTTGGGTATGGTATAACTTCAGTTGGCTCCTGTCCTCTCTGCAGCAGCTCAACTGGGTCATTTCATTAATCTTACAATTAAGCAACTCTGCATTTTATTTTAAATTTTTTAAAATTATATTTTATTGTTTATGCTGTTACAGTTGTCCCAGTTTTTCCCCCTTTGCCCCTCTCTCCTCAGCATCCCTCTGCTCCCTCAGGAAATCCCCATACTTGTCCATGTCCATGGGTCATGCATATATAATCTTTGGCTACTCTATTCCCTGTGCTCTACTTTACATCCTAATGGCTAGTCTGTAACAACCAATTTGTACTTCTTAGTCCCTTCCTTTTTTTTGCTTATCCTCCTGACCTCCCATCTGGCAACCATCAAAATGTTGTCTGTATCTATGCATCTATTTTTGTTTTGCTTGTTTATTTTAATTTTTAGAATTAATCATTGATAGATAGGTATTTATTGCCATTTTATTATTCATATTTTTATGTTATTCTTAAGGAAGACCCTTTAACATTTCATACAGTACGGGTTTGCTGGTGTGAAGTCTATTAGCTTTTTCTTGTCTGTAAAGAATCAAAGTTCTTTTTCCTTTGATTCTAAATGATAGCTTTGCTGGGTAGATTAATCTTGGTTGTAGGTCCTTCATTTCGTCACTTTGAATATTTCTTGCCAGTTCCTTCTAGCCTGCAAAATTTATTATGAGAAATCAGTTGACAGTCTTATGGGGGTACCCTTGTAGGTAACTAACTGCTTTTCTCTTGTGGCTTTTAAGATTGTGTCTTTGTCTCTAACCTTTAGCATTTTGATTACGATGTGTCTTGGTGTTGGCTTCTTTGGGGTCATCTTGTTTGAGACTCTCTGTGCTTCCTGGACTTGCATGTCTATTTCCCTCACCAAGTTGGGTAAGTTTTCTATCATTTCTATCATTTTCTTCTATCAAATGGGTTTTCAGTTTCTTGTTCTTTCTCTTCTCCTTCTGGGGCATCCTTATGATACAAATGTTGATATGCTTGAATTTCTTCCAGAGGCTCCTGACACTATCCTCATAGGTTTTGGATTCTTTATTCTTCATGATGTTCTGGTGGTCTGTTTGTTCCTTCCTTATATTCCAAACTGCTGATTTGATTCTTGGTTTCACCAACTCAACTGTTGGTGCCCTGAAAACTGTCTTTATTTCAATTTGTTTATCCTTCATTTATGACTGCATCTATTTTTAATGCTATTGAGGTGCTCGCAAAGTTCCTTGAGCATCCTTACAACCAGTGGTTATTTATTTATTTATTTATTTATTTATTTATTTTTAGAGAGAGAAGGAAGGGAGATAGAGATAGAGATAGAGAGAGAGAGAGGGAGAGAAACATCAATGTGCGGTTGCTGGGGGTTATGGCCTGCAACCCAGGCATGTACCCTGACTGGGAATCGAACCTGTGACGCTTTGGTTCACAGCCCGCGCCCAGTCCATTGAGCTACGCCAGCTAGGGCTACAACCAGTGTTTTGAACTCAGCATCTAGCAGATTGCTTGTCTCTAGTTTGTCCAGTTTTTTTTCTGGAGTTTTGTTCTGTTCTTTCATTTGGCTCATATTTCTTTGTCTCCTCATTTTGGCAGCCTCCCTGTGTTTGTTTCTACGTATTAAGTAGAGCTGCTTAATTGATAGGTCCAGACTTGGTACAGTGGCCTTATGTAGTAGGTGTCTTGTACGGTCCAGTAGCACAGCCTTCCCTGTTATTCGAGCTGGGTACTCAAGGTGTAACTACTCAAGGTGGGCTGTATACACACTCCTGTTGTTTTTGAGGCTTGATTACTGTTGGCATGCCAGAGGTCAGCCACAAACTGTGTTCTGTCTGGGGTTACATAGCATAACCTACAAAGTGATCTGCAGATGTCTAATCGCTTGACTGGGCCTGGAGGTGCCCTAGTGAGGCCAAGCTGTGAATCATGGTTGGCTGCTGATAGTGCCGAGCACGTACAGGTAGGTAGTGCTAAGTACAGATAGTGCTGCTGTACTTAGCAAGAGATAGAGGGTTCATCTGAAGCCAAATGCTGCTTGTTTGACAAAATTTAGGAAAATCTGAAGCACTGGCCAAGACAGACTATTCCTGTGGAAAAGTCACCGGAAATAGCTTGGTTGGGCCTGAAAGTTGGGTGGGGAAGGATCTCAGGGAATCACTGGAGTGGGACAAACAGTGAGCCAAGTAGATGGAATAATCTCAGATATGGGTGACTGCCTGCCTGCCGGCTCTATGGCTTTGTGGGAGAAGGATTCACAAAAGGAATAATGGCCTCTGTCAGCCTTCTCTGGAAGAAAGTTGACCCCTGCTCTTGCCCTGATGGTGGACAATTTAGTTCCTCCCCATGTATCTCTGATGCTTTTCAAGCTGCTGCCCCGATGCTGGAGTTCAGAGGGAGTGAATCAGATTAATTCAGTTTGCGGGACCTTTAAGAGGAACTGCATGAGATCCCAGCAGTTTCTGTCTTCCACAGCCTGAATCCCACTGGTTTTTAATCAGAACTTATGGGAACTTATCTTCCTGGCCCTGGAACCTTGGTCTGGGAAGTGTGGTATGGGGCTGGAATCCCTTGTTTCTGAGATAACCTCCTGATTTTTATATGCCGCATGTGGGTATGGAACTGGTCTGTTTCACGTCTCCACCCCCTCCCCCTACTAGTCTTGATGAGGCTTCTCTTTTAATTTCATAGTTGGTTTCTTCTTTAGTTATGTAGTTGTAGGACTTCCATTCACCTGTATTTCTGATAGTTCTGAAAGATGGTGGTTCTGTAGCTTAGTTGTAATTTTGATGGAGTTGTGTGAGGAGGTGAGTTGTGTTTACCTAGGCCATGATCTTGACTAGAAGCCTCAAGTGACTGCATTTTTTAAAAAATATATTTTGTTGATTGTGCTATTAGAGTTGTCCCATTATGTCCCCCTTTGCACCCCTCTGCTTGTAACTTCCTTCCCTCCAGCAGTCCCCCACCTGAGTTAATATCTGTGGGTCATGCATGTAAGGTCTTGGGCTTCTCCATTTCCTATACTATTCTTAACCTCCCCCTCTCTATTTTGTTCCTACTAATTATGCTGCCTTATCCCTGCACAATTTCCCCCTTCCCCATCCCAGCTGCTAACCCTCCAAATGATATACCTGTGTTCTGGTTGTTTGCGTAATTTTTTTTTTTTAACAGTCACTTGTTGATACTTGTGAATTTGTAGCCTTCCCCCCCCCTTATTTATTTATTTATTTATTTACTCACTACTTTATTTATTTATTTATTTTTAGAGAGGGAAGGGAGGGAGATAGAGAGAGAGAAACATCAGTGTGTGGTTGCTGGGGGTTATAGCCTGAAACCCAGGCATGTACCCTGGCTGGGAATCGAACCTGCCACACTTTGGTTCTCAGCCCGCGCTCAATCCACTGAGCTACACCAGCCAGGGCTAATTTGTAGCCTTTTTAATGTTCATGGTTTTGATCTTCTTTCTCTTAAGTAAGTCCCTTTAACATTTCATATAATATGGGTTTGGCGATGATGAACTCCTTTAGCTTTAAAGTCTGGGAAGTACTTTATCTGCCCTTCATTCTAAATGATAATCTAGGTTGTAGGTCCTTGCTTTTCATCACTTTGAATACTTATTGCCACAGTCTCTTCTCGCCTGCAAAGTTTCTTTGGGAAATCAGCTGAGTGTCTTATGGGAACTCCTTTGTAGTTAACTCTGCTTTTCTCTTGCTGCTTTTAAAATTCTCTCTTTATCTTTAACCTTTGGCATGTTAATTCTGATGTGTCTTGGTGTGGTCCTCTTTGGGTCCAACTTGTTTGGGTCTCTGTGCTTCTTGGATTTGTATATCTACTTCCTTTGCTAAATTAGGGAAGTTTTCTTTCATTATTTTTTCAAATAAGTTTTCAGTTTTTTGTTCTTTCATTTCTCCTTCTGTTACCCCTATGATTTGGATGTTGGAATATTTAAAGTTGTCCCAGAGGTTCCTAAGCCTATTCTCGTTTTTTTTTTAATTCATTTTTCTTCCTACTGTTCTAATGGAATGCCTTTTCCTTCTTTGTGTTCCAAGTCTTTGGTTTGATTCTTGGCTTCATTCTTTCCACTGTTGGTTCCCTGTAGATTTTTAAAAAAATTTCACTTAGTGTAACCTTCACGTCTTCCCAGATTTTTTTGCCATTCTCCATCAGTTCTTTGAGCATCCTGATCACCAGTGTTTTGAACTCTGCATCTGATAGGTTGGCTGTATCTGTTTCATTTAGTTCTTTTTCTGGAGTTTTGTTCTGTTATTTCATTTGGGCCATATCTCTTAGTCTCTTCAATTTGGCAGCCTCCTTGTATTTGTTTCTGTGTATTAGGTACAGTGGCTTCGACTGCCTATCTTAGTAGTGTGGCCTGTGTAGAAAAGGCACTTGTAAATTGTGTTGGGTGGAGCCTTAGGTAATTGCCAGGGTAGGGCTGCCCACTCACTGCTCTGTGGTTCTGTGTGGGGCAAGGGCTCGGAGAAGGGACAATGCCACTGCCTGGCTTCTGGAGGTTTGTACAGTTCCTGCCCTGGTGGTGAAACTCATTGTGGGTAGGTTTGTGTACGTTCTAAGTCTATGCA